TTGCATGTTACTTTCTAACACAGGAGACTGCTCTCCTGGGTTCCTGGCACACTTGGAAGGCAGTTTGGACATTGTGATCTGGAGGTCCTATGGATCTCTGCTTCCAGATTAAGCTTGAAACGACGGCCTGAAAGGTCACCACCAGCTTCTTTATTGTTAGTGGCACTCATAACAGTCAAGCCAGGGCCCACTCATTGAGCACAGTTAGCCAAGCCCTGTACCAGGTGCTGCATGTCTTCACATCTAACAACCACAACAATTACCTTCTCCTTATAGATGAGGAAGGAGGTTCAGAAAGATTTAAAAATGTCCCAGAGTCACACAAGTGGCTGAGGTGGAATTGGAACACAGCTGCATTTCTCATTATTATTAATAATAATGGTTGCTAACATTTATCGAGTATGTACTATGTACCAATATAACTTCTGCATGGCCCTTCCTCTCCTGATAACGGTAAGAATGCAAAAACCTGCTCATTTGCCTATATGACCTCAGGAAAAAAGGGATCCGCACCCAAGGCTTCAGTAATTGCTAAAATCTTTATCATTGTAATTGTTCGGGTTTGGGCCTAACCTTTTTAAATAGGGTCCTTTATAAGCTGCAGGTCCCCCAAACCCTTACCCAGAGTTGCAGGCGGTTTTACGTTTCATCTCTACACCTTCTTATATCCTTGCTGGGTTTGTGGGAGCTGCTCGCACTCGCCCTGCAGGGCTGGACAGCAGCGTCCTCACCGGAAGGCTCCCGCGGCCGGGGCTGCATGGCCTTGCTGGTTGCAGTGAGGCGTCGGGCGTGGCAAACAGTCTTCCCGGGCTTCATCAACATACGTTTAAAGGCCTCACAAACAACCTTCCTTTTGCTGCGAGTAGTGGTTTGATGTCTCTTTTATCATCTACGAACCTCCTTATAAAAGGGTATACTGGCAATATATTTTTGTGGCCTATTACATTTGAACCTCTGATTTGCAAGAGTGATTTCAACATAATTTGTCTTTTGCAGAGCGTGACGGCCGGAGCGACACAAAACCCAAAGATAAACAGCCTTCGCAGGTGTTGCCGCGACAGATTTTCAGAAGGAAAGAATGAAACATCAAAACGTCCACTCGGGGGTTCCTTGTCCTTAAAAATCTCGAGGAGAATCGGATCATCCGAAATAGAAGCTCTGCTATTTTTATACCCAATTGCAAATTGGGAAGCCGCCAGCCTTTCGTCTCAGCAACGAGTTTTCTTAGGGACTGGATCTGGACTTTATTTATACTCTACGCTTTGGGGAAAGGTGCATCCTGAGTCCTTTCAGCTTTCGGTGCTTTTCATTTCCTTGAAGGACCTTTGACATTACCTTTTGATATTTTTGGTCTCCTCCACCTACAAAGAGAAGGTGGCAGAGGGACGAAGTTGGCAAGAACCTCCCTCATTTGGGCATCACTAGTATTAGTACGAATAGAGTGGCAAAGGGGACACGTAGGCTAATGAACAACGCCATGCTCAGTTTGTCTGTAATTCAAATCGGTGACTCAGCTCTCTCACTAAAAGGGACCTGGGCACAGCCACTGTGGATCTAACTTAAAATCTCTCTCCTGGACAGTAGAAAGTGCCAGAATCACTTTCAGATTACCACATGCAGGACTCCAAGAGCATTGTGTGAACGTGCGCGCANCTCTCCTGGACAGTAGAAAGTGCCAGAATCACTTTCAGATTACCACATGCAGGACTCCAAGCATTGTGTGAACGTGCGCGCGCGCGCACACACACACACAATCATCATCATCATCTTCAGACACACAGGCCACTGATCTACCCATGGAGAAGACTTAGGATGTCTCCTTGGCCAGCAACACCTTCCCTTTCTATGATCCATTCCTTTTTTTCATGGATGAAAAAGAGAAAAGTTTAAGGGAAATGATGTTACGGTTCACTGAGAACAAGAGGTTTATTCCCAGGTTCCAATACATTCTTGTATCTGCGTGTGCACACGCGCGCGCACACACACACACACACTCTACCTTCAAAATGCAGTAGGCATGGCACATGACTGGCTGAAGAATCCGATGGAGTATAGGTTACATCCTGACTTGGGGGGCGGGGATGACTAACATGGAAAAGGAATGGAGACGTGTCTGAGGGGAGGAATTAGAAAAACGTATCGTGAATCTGCTCCTGCGGTGCCTAGCTGCCTGTTTCTGGTTCCAGCGCAGACTGGAAGGAGGTGCGGGATGGAGGCCCAGGAGCAGAGCAGGCTCCTTGGAGTATCTTTTCCT